TCTGTTCTGGGTGCTCTGCTATTTGTGATTTTTGTAAATGATTTGGAGGAAGGAGTGGAAGGGTGGATTAGCAAGTTCGCAGACGATACGAAGGTGGGTCATGTTGTGGACAGTGCGGAGGGCTATTCTAGCTTACAAAGGAACATTGATAGAATGCAGAGCTGGGCTGAGAAGTGGCAGATGGAGTTTAACCCTGAAAAGTGTGAGGTGATTCATTTTGGAAGGACAAACTTGAAAGCAGAATACAAGGTTAACGGAAAGATTCTTGGCAGTGTGGAGGAGCAGAGGGATCTTGGGGTTCATGTTCACAGTTACCTGAAAGCTGCCACCCAGGTGGATAGAGTTGTTAAGAAGGCGTATGGTGTGTTAGCTTTCATTAATAGAGGGATTGAGTTCAAGAGCCGTGAAGTTATGCTCCAGCTATACAAAAGCCTGGTTCGGCCACATGTGGAGTATTGTGTCCAGTTCTGGTCACCTCATTACAGGAAAGATGTGGAAGTGTTGGAAAAGGTGCAGAGGAGATTTATCAGGATGTTGCCTGGAATGGAGGGAAGGTCTTGTGAGGAAAGGTTGAGAGAGCTAGGGCTTTTCTCTTTAGAACAGCAAAGGATGAGAGGTGACTTGATAGAAGTGTACAAAATGATCAGAGGTATAGGTAGAGTAGACAGCCAGGGACGTTTTACGAGGGCACGTAGTTTTAAAGTGAAAGGAGGTAGATATCGGGGAGATGTCAGAAGTAGGTTCTTTACTCAGAGTGGTAGGGGCGTGGAATGTATTGCTGGAGAGGGTAGTGGAGTCGGCCTCATTAGGGGCATTTAAGTGACTATTAGATAGACATATGGATGATAGTATAAGGTAGTGGTGGAGGTTAGATAGACCTTAGGTTTCGGGTAAAAGTTTGGCACAACATCATGGGCCGAAGGGCCTGTACTGTGCTGTAATGTTCTATGTTCTATCTTTTTCCTTGTCCAGAACAAATTTAAACTGTGTTGTATAGTTGTCACTATCACTTAAAAAATTCCTCCGCTACCACATCAACACTTGTCCAGCTTCTTTCCCCAGAACCAGATGCAGCACTGAGCTGTCCCTTGTTGGCTTTCTATGTATTGATACAAAAAACTCTCCTGGATAAGTTTCAAGAAATCTGTGTCCACCCGATTGAAAGTTTTTCGGTACAAGGAAAGGTTAGAGAGATTGAGCTTATTCTCCTGGCAGCCGAGAAGGTAAAGAGGTGACCTTCTTGAGGTGTTCAAAATTTTTATACCCTCCTCTGACTTGTCTAAAGGTCCTATATACTGGAATGTTGAGTTACCAGTCCAGCCCTTCCGTTAACCATGTTTCTATGATGGCAACAATATCATCCTTCCATGTGTCAATCCACGCCATTAACTCATCAGTATTACCTATTACACTCCTAGCATTAATGTCGTAGACCCTGTCCTGGGAATGTTTAATGGGATGTTGTTGAGAGAGCTTCGATACTCTGTATTTAACCCATGCTGTCCATGTCTTGGGAGTTTGTGATGGGTGACAGTTTAGAGGAAGTTTTACACTGCATCTAACCTTCTACTGTCTGTCGTGGGAGTGTTTGATAGGAACAGTGCAGAGGGAGCTTTACAGTGTATCTAATCTCGTGCTGTCCCTGTTCTTGGAGTAATTGATGGGGATAGTGTAGAGGAAGCTTTACTCTGTATCTAATACTGTGCTGTCCCTGTCCTGGGAGCGTTTGATTAGAGATGCTGCACAGAGAGCTTTACTCATCTAACCCTGTGTAGTCCCTGTCCTTGAAGTATTTAATGGGGGAGCAGGAAAAAGGGAGTTTTACTCTGTATCTAATGCTGTGCTATCCTGCATGTATTGAGCTGAATAGATTCCTGTTCAGCAGAAGGGTAGAGGATAATGCGGGGGTAGATAGGAATGTGGAGTCAAAGACACAAATCACCGTGATCTTGTAGAATGACAGCAGGTTACAGGGGCTGCCTCTGATCTGTGGTTAACTCGAAAAGACTGTAACCAACTTAAACAGAAGCATTGAATTCGTAAAAGGCAGGTGGCCACTCTCAATCCTCTGAAATGCTTTTCCCAGTGCAACCTCTGTTTTACCAGGTGCATATAATATATAGAGAGAGAGAGAGAGGGCTTTCTCCATTTTGATCATGTCTGCTGTTTACATGTGCTTTGTTTGACTTCTCATTTTTCTCACCATCTGTCTACTTCCTTTTGCCAGTTTTGTTTCCTTTGAGTCTGAGCTCCCTCTCATAGAGAGCTGATGGTGAATTTGTTCAAGCCACTTGTTTGACCTCAACTGCAGCATTGTGTACAGTTTTGTGGTGAAGACAGATTCACTTGAGTGGTTAGGGTCTGGAATGTACTGTCTGAGTGTGTGGAGGGGGTGATCAGGTCGACTCCTTAATATCATAAAATATCGGGCAGAATTAGACCATTTGGCCCGTTGAGTCTGCTCCGCCAATCGATCATAGTTGATATATTTCTCAACCCCATTCCCCTGTTCCCTCTTGATAACCCTTGATCCCCCCCTCTAATCAAAAACCTATCGATCTCAGTCTTAAATACACTCAATGATTTGACCTCCAAAGCCACCTGCAGCAATGAGTTCCACAGATTCCACCCTCTGGCTGAAGAAAATTCTCCTCATCTCAGTTCTCAAAGGTTGTTCCTTTACTCTGAGGCTGTGCCCTCGGGTCCCCGTTGAAATATCTTCTCCATGTCCACTCGATCCTGGCCCCTCAGTATTCTGTAAGTTGCAATCAGCTCCCCCCGCCACTCCATCCTTCTAAACTCCATCGAGTACAGACCTAGAGTCCTCAGTTGCTCCTCATTTGACAATCCCTTGATCCCTGGGGTCATTATTGTATAGTTTACTCTGTTTACTTAGAAAGGGGATCAAGGGTTATTGAGTTCTGAGGAAGGGTCACCGGACCCAAAACATTAACTCTGTCTTTTCCTTCACAGATGCTGCCAGACCTGCTGAGATTTTCCAGCAACTTTGTTTTTGTCATTATTGTAAACCTCTCCTGAATCCCCTCCAAGGCCGGTACATCCTTTCTTAGATACGGAGCCCAAAACTGCTCTCCGTATTCCAAATGTGGTCTGACCAGAGCCTTATACAGCCTCAGCAGTACCTCCCTGCTCTTTTATTCTTGCCCTCTTGAGATGAATGCTAACATTGTATTTGCCTTCCAAACTACCAACTGAACCTGCTTGTTAACTTTAAGAAAATTCTCAACTCCCAAATCCCTTTGTGCTTCAGATTTCCAAAGCCTTTCCCATTTTGAAAATAAGCTCTGTCTCTATTCTTCCTGCCAAAGTGCATAACCTCACACTTTCCCACATTGTATTCCATCTGCCAATTCTTTGCCCACTCTCCAAGCCTTTCCAAGTCTTTCTGCATCTTCCCTGCTTTCTCAACATTACTTGTCCCTCCACATATCTGTGTCATCTGCAAACTTAGCAACAATCCCCTCAGTTCCTTTGTTCAGAATAACATGAATACTTGTGGTCCCAACACTGACCCCTGTGAACTCCATCAGTCACTGGCTGCCATCCTGAAAAAGACCCCTTTATCTCCACCCTCTGCCTTTTGCTAGTCCACCAATCCTCTATCCATGCCATACCTTGCCCTAACACCATGGGCTCTTAACTTATTTAGCACCTTCCATATGAGGCAGCTTGTCAAAGGCCTTTTGGAAATCCAATTAGATCATGTCCACTGATTCTCCTATTTGTCTAATTTGTTGGTTCCCTCAAAGAATTCAGAGTTGTCAGGCATGACTTCCCTTAGATGAAGCTGTGCTGACTCAGCCCTATTTTACCATTCACTTCCAAGTACTCCACAAATCTCATTCTCAATAATGGACTCTTAAAATCTTACCAATGACCAATGTCGGGCTAACCAGCCAATAACTTCCGGTCACCTGCCTCCTTTCCCTTTTTAAACCGGGGTTTACATTTGCTATTTTCCAGTCCTCTGGAACTCCTCCGTGACTCCAGTGACTCCTGAAAGATCACCAATAGTGCCTACACTATCTTTTCAGCTATCTCCTTAAGAACTCTGGGGTGTAGACCATCTGGTCTGGGTAATTTATCCACCTTCAGATCTTTAAGCTACTCCAGCACCTTCTCCTCAGTGATGATGACTACACTCACCTCTGCCCCCTGACCCTCTTGAAGTTCGGGTATGGTGCTGGTGTCTTCTATTGTGAGAACTGATGCAAAGTACCTATTCAGTTCCTGCACCATTTCTTTGTTCCCCATTACTGCGTCCCTAGCCTCATTTTACAACAGTCCAATGTCCACACTTCACACTCTACCTTTTATACATCTAAAATAATCTCTTGCAAACTTCTTTCACATTAATAGCTACCTTACCCTCATATTTCATCTTCTCCCACCTTACTGGATTTTCAGTTACCCTCTGCTGGTTTTTAATTACTTCCCAATCTTCTGGCTTCTCACATATCTTCACCGTATGATTTTTCTTTTGCTTGAATGGTTAGAATCTGGAATGTACTGTCTTGAGAGTATGGGGTAGGCAGGTTCACTGTTTTATGGAGGCAGTATGTTCAGGCAATGCAGAGAATGTGGGAGAATGGAGTTGGGTGAGTTGCACAGAGAGTCAGCCCAGCTGAACGGCCTACTCCTGTGCTGGAATCTTTCTGTGAATCCATGGTGTGCATTATTAAACTGTCCCTCTCCCTCTTCCCCTTCCTGTATCTGTGTCTCATTTCTCCCTCTGCCACTGTCTCCTCTCTGTTCCCCTCCCTATCTGTCTGCCTGTCTCTTTTCCTCTATCTCTTTCTCTCTTCCCCTTTCCCCTCTGTCTGTCCACCCCATTCCCCCATCTCACTTTCCCTTTCTTCCTCTGCCCTACCCCTTCCTTTCTCCCCTTGCTTGCCCCCTCTCACCCCTCTCACTCCTCTGTTCCCCTCCCCTATCTCACCCCCTCTGTTTCCTGCCTCCACTCGCCCCTCTCTCTGCAGGTTACTCTTTCTTTGTGACGGTTGCTTCCTGGGGAGGTTATGATGGCGGGCTGTGATTCCATCACTAGCCCAGTGGTGCGACAGATTGACAAGCAGTTTCTGGTCTGCAGTATTTGTCTTGACCGATACAACAACCCCAAGGTGCTGCCGTGTCTGCACACATTCTGTGAGAGGTAAGAATGAGGGGCCTGATTGCCATCAGGGTCTAGGACTGGACGTGAGGATACCTCGTGGTACACCACACTGAGCACTGGATGTTTTGTGCTGTGTTTGGGGGCTGGATGCGGGGCCCGGGGTAGGGGAGCTGTGTTTGGGGCGCCTTTAGGGGCCAGGACCCTGTAGCCCTGCTCACCAGGATTCTTGTTTTCTTTGCTCCCTTAGGTGCCTGCAGAATTACATCCCCCCCCAGAGCCTGACCCTGTCGTGCCCTGTCTGCCGTCAGACTTCGATCCTCCCCGAGAAAGGAGTGTCTGCTTTGCAGAATAATTTCTTCATCACCAACCTGATGGAGGTGCTGCAGGGCAATGCAGCCTGTAACCAGGAGCAAGCCTCTCTGAAGGATACGGTCAGTGCAGTGTCCGGACACTCCCTGTCGTGTCCCAACCATGAAGGCAAGGTCAGTGCCAAGAGTAGCTGCTTCAAGATGGCACAAGGGGTCTGGGAGAGGGCACACAAGCCATGGGACAGGAATCAGAGGTCAAGGGAAGGTGCTCAGGGCAGGGTGGTTTATGGATTCACTGTGTGCGGGGTTCAAGTGTCAGGAATAGGCATGGGTCGGGTCAAGAGTGCGCACTGGATGCAGGGGTCGGGTCGGGGGCGGGCACTGGATGCAGCTTTCAGGGTTCAGGAAAAGGCACTGAGTGAGGGAACCAGGAGTGGGCGCCGAGCGAGAGGTCAGGAGTGGCCACGTGGTGTGGGTTTCAGGGTCAGGGGTCAGGGCAGCACAGAGCCCACCCACAGAGTGCTCCGCCCCAAATCCTGACCATTAGCCCTAGGCCCCTTGTGACCCCTGCACAGCTAGAGCGCATTAACTTATGCCCAGCTGGGAAAATTCTTGCTCAGTCCCGCCCCGCTTCCCCTCAGTCCTCCTCATCCTGCCTCAGGCAAAATTGAGTGGTGAGGATGGCACCGAGTCTGCGGAGGGATATAGACAGGGCAAGTGAGTGGGCAGAACCTTGGCAGAGACGACAAAATGTGGAAAATGTGAGGTTTTGCAATTGGGCAGGAAGAAAGGAGCAGCTAGTCACATAGGAAGAGGGGCCATTCAGCCTCTCGAGCCTGTCCCACCATTCAGTGGGATCATGGTTGATCTGTGGCTTGACCCCATATACCTGCCTTTGGCCCATATCCCTTAATACCGTTGCTTAACAAAAATGTATCTCTCTTGGATTGAAAATTAACAACTGATCCAGCATCCACTGCAATTTGTGGGAGAGAGTTCCAAATCCCTCCTACCCTTTGTGTGTTGAAGTGTTTCCTAACATCTCTCCTGAACGATCTTGCCCTAATTCTCAGACTCTATCCCTAGTTCTGGAATCCCCAACGAGGGGAAATAGTTTATCTTTATCGACCCTGTCTTTTCCTGTTAATATCCTGAAAACTTTGATCAGATCACCCACTTAACCTTCTAAATTCCAGAGAAACCAGTCCTAATTTGTATAACCTCTTCTGGGCGGGTTGCAGAAGGGATTCACTTGAATGTTGCCTGGAATGCAGCAGTTTAGAGTGATGGTGATCTACAGCACAGAGACAGGCTCTGTCTAACTCACTATTCACCTAAGTATTCTAATCCCATTTCCTAGCACTTGGTCCACAGCCTTGGATGCCTTGACATTGTAAATGTACATCCAAATACTTATAGAGTTATACAGCACGTAAACCGACCCTTTGGTCCAGCCAGACTTCAATGCCTCTCCCACCCTTATAGGCAGTGAATTCTAGATTCCCACCACCTTCTGGGTGAACAAATTTTTCCTCACATCTCCTCTAAACCTCCTGCTCCTTCCCTTAAATCTACATCCCCTGGTCATTGATCCCTCCATTAAGGGGGAGAAGTTTCTTCCTGTCGACCTTATTTATGCCCTTTGCTATTTTATAAATCTCGATCATGTCCTTCTCAATCTCCTTTGCTGTAAGGAAAACAACCCCTGTCTATCCAATCTTTCTTCATAACTGAAACTCTTCAGCCCAGTCAACATGCTTGTAAATCTCCTCTGCACCCTGTCCAGTGCTATCACATCCCTCCTACAATGTAGATTCCAGGACTGCACATAGTTAGGCTGTGTTCTAACCAACATTTTATACAGTTCCACCATAACCTCCCTGCTCTTAAACTCTCTGCCTCAACTATCCTAGGGTGGAGGTAGCTATAACTAGGGGGCATAGTTTTAAAGTGAGTGGAGGTAGATATAGGGGAGATGTCAGAAGTAAGTTCTTTACTCAGTGTTCGGGGCGTGGATTGCATTGCCGGAGAGTGTAGTGGAGTCGGCCTCATTAGGGGCATTTAAGTGGCTATTAGATAGGCATATGGATGATAGTATAAGGTAGCGGTGGAGGTTAGATAGACTTTAGGATTAGGGTAAAAGTTCGGCACAACATCGTGGGCCAAAGGGCCTGTACTGTGCTGTACTGTTCTATGTTCTAATAAAGGCTAGTATCCCATATGCCTTCTTAACCTCTTTATCCACCTGTCCTGATCCCTTAATGGTCCAGTGGACATTGACAGCAAGGTCCCTCTGATCCTTGGTGCTTCCCCAGGGTCCCACTGTTCAACTTGTACTCCCTTGCCATATTTGTCCTGCTTAAACAATATAAGATGCTAGTTAGACCACAACTAGAATGCTGTGATCAGTTTTTGGTCTCTTATTGAAGGAAAGACTGGAATTGGAGGCAGTCCAGAGAAAGTTCACTTGGCTGACTTAAGGTATGGAGGGGCTGTCCTATGAGGAGAGGTTGAGTAGGTTGGGACTGTACTCATTGGAATTTAGAAGAAGGAGAGGTGACTTTATTGAAACATATAAGATTGTTTAAGATCCTGACAAGGTAGATATTGTTTCCCTAGTGGGAGAATCTGGGACCAGAGGGCATCATCCAGAATAAGGAGCACGAATTTAAGACAGAGATGAGGAATTTTTTTCTGACAGTAGTGGATCTCTTTATCACAGATAGCTGTTGAAACTGGGTCTTTGAGTATATTCAGGGCTGAGACAGACAGATTTTAATCAATAAGAGAATGGAGGGTTATGGGGACAACAAAACAAAGTGGATTTGAGGGTTATCAGACCTACCATAATGTCACTGAATGACAGAGCAGACTTGTTGGGCTGAATGGCCTACTCCTGCTCCAATGTCTGATCGCCTTGTAGTCCTCCTCGCTGAATCCTCCCTCTCCCACTGCCTCCTACTGTGCCTCTTTTTCCTTATTCCCTCCCGTCCCTATCCCTCTTCATTTTCTTTTCCCATTGCGCTTGCTCTCTTTCCTGGTCGTGCTTTCGAATGATGTGACTAAATGATACTTCATGTCTGACTCACAGCTAACCTTCCTCCCTATCATGGGATCATTGATAAACTTCAACCCATAGCTTTAGTCCATTTATTAAAATCATTTAAAATAGTTGAACATATAAATCCTCAAACTGATCACAATGACACTCCACTTGTGACATCTTGCTAACCCCAAAATGGCTCATTTATTCCCATTCTCTATTTCCTGAAAATCAACCAATCTTCTATCTAAATGATGTTTTCCCCCTATGCCATGAAATTTTGTGTCATCATCTTCGATATGGAATATTATCATGAGACCATAAATAAGAATAGGAGTAGACCATTCACTCCTCAAGCCTGCTCCATCATTCAATAGGATCATGGCGGGTCTAACGTTCCTCACGTCCACTTTCCTGCCCTTTCCCCATTTCCTTTGATTTCCCTATTGATCAAGAATCTGTCTATTTCAGCCTTAAATATACACAATGACTCTGCCTCACACCTCTCTGTGGCAAAGAGTTGCAAAGGCATTCAACCTTCTGAGAGAAGAAATTCCTCCTCATCTCGGTCTTAAATTGCCTCCCTTTTATTCTGAGACTGTGCTGTCTGGTCCTACACTCTCCAAAGAGGGGAAACATCCTCTCAGCATTTACCTGGTCACATTTATCACGTAGCCTGCCATTATATACTACCTACTGTTAGTCACTAACCGTCCCCATGAACAACTATTTGCCCTCCGAGCCTGATCGTTATCAACTCCTTTGTGTATCCAACTGCTCTTCTGTCTGTTCGGGCTCTATCCTATTGTTTACATATCCCCTCCCTACCCCATCTGCCTCACTATTTTCTGTATATAAACTGACGTTTTCCCAGCTATCACCAGTTCTGAGGAAGGGTCACCAGACCCGAAACGTTAACTCTGTTTTTTTCTTCACAGATGCTGCCAGACCTGCTGAGCTTTTCCAGCAACTTCTGTTTTTGTATCCAACTACATCCATCCTCTCAGTATTCCATAAGATTCAATCAGATCCCCCCCCGCCCCCCATCATTCTAAACTCCATCGAGTACAGACCCAGAGTCCTCAACTGCTCCTCGTTTGACAAGCCCTTCATCCCAGGGATCATTTTTGTAAGCCGCCTCTGGGCCCTCACCAAGGCCAGCACATCCTTCCTTTGATACAGGGCCAAAAACTGCTTTCAATATTCCAAATGCGGCCTGACCAGAGTCTAATACAGCCTCAGCAGTACTTCTCTGCTCTTGTATTCTTGCCCTTTTGAAATGAATGCTAACGTTGCATTTTCCTTCCTAACTGCCAACAGAGCCTACTTATTAACCTTAAGAGAATCCTGAACTAGTGCTCCCAAGTCCCTTTGCATTTCAGGTTTCTGAAGCCTTTTGCTATTTAGTAATAGGCCATGCCTCTCTTCTTCCTCCCAAAGTGCATAATCTCTCACTTTCTGACATCGTTTTCTACCCCCACCTTGCACCCAGGTGTGGCCTCTCTTTCTCCTTCACTCTTGTTTTAAAGCAGATGTTGACATTCCCCCATGAGAGCTCAAACTTGAACAACCAAAGAGGAGCACCTTGCCCAATAATCTGTGAAAGAAGTGTGAAATTTGGTGTAATCTACTTTTCAGCAACTTCCAGTGGTTAAATAAAATAAATCTCTATCACTCACTTTGCGATCAATAAGTAACGATTTATTGATCTAAGTCTAACAATGAACAAATTAATTAAATTATTTGCAAAACGAAAAACCCCTGCTAACTACTAACTATTCCTGAATAGCAAGATTCTTATAGTATGCTGTTCAAATAAATACAAGTCCCACTTATTAAAAAAAGATAACTAAGTCTCAAACTTACAGCCAGATTACGTGTCTTCTGGAATGTTCTGTGCCTTCGCCATTGATTCTTCTGTCAGGAATATTAACTAGTTGTGATGTTGGTACTGCTGGTATTTAGATGGTGCTTTCTTGAAGGCATAGAGGAGGCTGTAAGAGCTCATGATTCTCTCTCTCGAGAGCTGAGGGCCATTAACTCTGGCGAATGGCAACTAGCTCTAGTATCTTTGTCCAACTGCCCCATTCTTTTATACCGTTGATGGCATATCAATATCTCTTGCAATAGCATTGGTACTATGTTGTGAAAACTGTCAGGGTTAAATTTGATAGGTTTTTGGCATCTAAGGGCCTGCTTCAGATTGTTTGGCTAAATTCAAAAACTTTTTTGTTTTGGGAAAAAGCTACTGCTTGGCCTGCTAGCTGTATGGCCTTTTGATACAAATGTTTCTATTTGGGGGCTTTCTGTGTACTTACAAACTTTCAAGCTGCTGCTTACAGACATCCATTTTTAAGTCTCTAAGCATAGAAAAAGCACATGATCTTTTAAAGGGACCATGCAATGCTGTTCCCTCAAGCACTTTATAAACACCAAATTCTAATTTCCTGCCTCCCAATCCAGAAGTGCTCTGCCCAACTTCGCAACACTTTCTCTCTCCCCTTCACTCACTCACACTCTTTCTCCTTCACTGTCTCTCTCTTACCCCTTCAGACACACTGTCTCTTTCTCCTTCACTGTCTCTCTCTTTCCCCTTTTCACACAGTCTCTCCCTCTCTCCCCTTCACACACACTCTCGCTCTCTCCCTCTCT